CGGCGGCTCCGCCGCCGCCGCCGCCGGTTGACCCCGGCGCTGCCGTCGGCCCAAACTCGTGGTAGAGCTCCTCCCCCTCCACCAGCAGCCCCTCCACAATGGAGTAGCACCGTACTCCATCTACGTAAGCAACCACCAGCTCCCGGCCGTACGGGTCGATGGACAGGGACAGAGGCGAGTGGTGGCACATGTGGGTGAGCACGAGGCGCAGGGGGGAGGTCTGCCAAACCCGCACGGTGAGGTCCTTGGACGCGGTGGCCAGGAAGTCGCGCTTGTAGGCCAGCGATGCGGAGATAATGCCCTGCAAACGGCCGGAAAGGCGGTAGCGGTCGCGGTAGCGATTGTCGTGGCGGTGGTGGTGATGTGGGAGGGGAGGGTACTGGAGGGGAAAGTGAACGACCTGACCTGGCAGGACGGGAACTGGAAAGGAATACTGCATACAGGCATGCCCCCCCCACTCTTCCTCTCCAGACACGTGAAATCAAGGTCTTCAATTTCCTCTCCCACCCCCACCTGCTCGTGACATCCCGGCAGTAGCACCTCCCACAGATCATTGGCGGGGTCGGATGAGAGCGCCAGCGTCTGCGAGGAGGAGGAGAAGAAGAAGGGGCGGCAGGCGGGTGGGCGGGTAGCAGTGGCAACAGGTGGTGAGGTCACCGGTTAGGATGGGGGAGGGGGCAGAAACAGTCAGGGATCTCTCCAGTGTACTCTTCCCCCCAATCAACCCAACCCCCAGACCCCACACCCCCCACCACGGCCACTTTTCATCCGCATAGCCCTTCCGCACCCGTTCGCACTGATATACACACACGCGGCCACACACACACACCCTCCTCACCCGTGCATAAGCCAGGTTGAACAAGTAGGTGGGGCCGCCACCCGCTGCACAGGGAGGGGGAAGAGCAGGGCGAGGGACAGGCAGCAGGCCGACCAGGGGAAGGGGTGAGGGAAAAAGGGGGGGGAAACAAGACGTGAAGGGTGGGTGCTTTCCTCACTCCTCCTCCTCCTCCGTTGGGCATGAGGCATGATGCGAGGCCCCATGCATGGGCGGGCTGGGCTGCTTACACCATTTCCTTCTCACAGGGGGACATACATACATACATACATACATACATACATACATACATACATACATACATACATACATACATACATACATACATACATACATACATACAAACTCACAACCTGACATGCACATACACACACACTCTCTTTCCCCTCCCCCAAGTCCATTCCTTACCTGTGGCGCACAGCAACGTCTCCCCTCCCGGCCCCACAGCCATAGCTCGAACATGGTTGTCCAGGGAAACACTGAGCACCGTTTCGGGAACCCGTGTCTCCGAGTAGATAGCTACAGGGTGATGGGAAAGGCACGGAGGAGGGGGTGGGATGGGCGGGTTAATGGGGTTTTAGTGGTCGTGGTGTGGTCGTAGTAGTAGTAGCAGGTATTACTGCGAGAGCCCCAGACCCCCGGCTTGCGCGCGCGCACACACACACACACACACACACACACACGCACCGCACCCACAATAGTGCGCTGTTTCGTTGTTGCCTGATCTGCGGTACAGCTGCAGGTAGCCTCTCTCCGTGCCCACCGCCACGGCTCCGTCCGGCAGCCCCACCATGCAGGCCACCGGGCGGTCGGTGTAGAAGGCCAGATGGGCGTGAGTGCGGTCCACCAGAAACACCTGGAAGCGTGGGGTTGGGGGGAAAGACGAACCACGAACGTGTGAAGGTTGGGGGAAAGAGAAAGAGAGGGAGGGACGTGGGTTGGCCAGGGGGGAAATCCCCCCGGGGGGGGGGCCCGGGGGCGAAAGTTGGGGTTGGGATTGGGGGTTAGGGTTGGGGGTTGGGTTGGAGGAAGGGAGAAAATCATTTGGTGATGTGAAGTGTCAATTGTCGAAGTGGATGGGAGGAGAGGGAAGTGCCGCGACCACCATCCCTTATCTTGTGTGAAGGAGTAGTGTTGTGTTGTGGAGTGTCGTATAGTGTTCTGTTTCTCTCGTATCGCCTCTCCATCCACTGGCAATACCACTAATGGCCTCGTTCTCCAGACACAGTGGAACAACCCGGCCTTGTTTATAATGCCCCCATTTCCCCCTTGCCATCTTTCCAGTCCCCCCCATTTCTTCCCTCCTCCCATTCTTTCCCCTTCGGGTCACATGTATCCGGGTTCGCCTGTCATCTCCCTTCTTCCTTTCCGTACGCTTTTTCCCCTTTCCTCCGCCCCCCTTTCCATGTGGATCCTTGGCATCAGCTTCACTCCTTGTGGTTCGTCTTCCTCCCCACCCCCCTTCTCGGCCCACCTGGCGACTGGACGTGGCGATGAGGAAGCGGCCGTCTGACAGAGTCGCCAAATCCACAAAGGCGGCTTCACGCTGCGGGGGGAAGGGAGGGAAGAGGGAAGGAAGAGAGGTGCGGGGTAGGGGAAAAAGGGGGGAGGAGTCATGCAATATGGCAACATACAAAAAAACTGGGCAACTGCCAAAGGACGTCCAAAGCACCAAGCGCACCAACTGCCCGGGTTTGGGGAGGGGAGAGGGGAAGAGGGTGGAAGGAAGGTAAGGAGAGCAAAGGGGAGGAGGGCGGAAGGTAAAGGGGGGGAGAGGCAGCTTGCTACCGATTGTTAAGGGGGCGAAAGGGAGGAGGAAGCAAAAAGCGTGTTGAGACCATATGGCGGTGTGTGCGTCTATGTGGGCATCTGTGTGTTGGGGGAGATCAGAGAAGTGGCAAAGCCAAGCTGCACACAGTCTTTTTTACAGACTCTCATCCCTCTCATCCCTCTCAGCCTCACACTCCCCACTCTTTTGGCCCTCCCCACCCCCCCACTTCCCTCTTCATTCCCCTCTTCTTCATCAGCCAGACAGCCAGCCCCACTCACCGCCATCTCCAGCCCTTCCACGGGGTGCCTCTTGAAGCCGTTGGGGGATTGCCTGAACAGGCCCACCGACTTGGCGCACATGACCAGCACGTTGGCATCGTACCGCGGGTCCAATGCCGCCCGAATAGCCACCTCTCCGCGGTTCATGGCGCCGCTGAGGCAGGTTAACGATTGAATGAGTCAGTGAGGTAGTGAAGAATGGGTAGTGAAGAATGGGTAGTGAAGAATGGGTAGTGAAGAATGGGTAGTGAAGAATGGGTAGTGAAGAATGGGTAGTGAAGAATGGGTAGTGAAGAATGGGTAGTGAAGAATGGGTAGTGAAGAATGGGTAGTGAAGAATGGGTAGTGAAGAATGGGTAGTGAAGAATGGGTAGTGAAGAATGGGTAGTGAAGAATGGGTAGTGAATGCCCCTACCTGCACCTAGGTGTGGTGGCGCTGGCCCATTCCCACAAGTGGAAGGTGGAGGTGAGGGAAGCTGCGCCAGACGAACCGCCTCCGCCTCCGCCTCCGCCTCCGCCGCCCTCCTCCGTAGCGGTCGCCAGCAGCAGGGAGGAGTCCGCGGAGAAGGCCAGGTAGGTGTAGGTGCCCGTGGTGGTGGAGGCGGTCAAGGTCAAGGAACGCTCCAGGGTGGTGGCGTCGAACAGCGTAACCTGCGCGTGCGCGCGCGCGTGTGTGTGGAAGGGTAGGGGGATGCGTGTGGAGGGGAGGAGACGGCAAAGGCAAAGGGGACATCGGGCGTCACCCCTGGGGCTGGTGTTTTGACCGCGGAGTAGAAATCAAGGGGGGCCTGGAGGGGTAGCATTGGTCAAGGATTGACGGACAACAAGCGGAGGATGTGGCATCCCCCCCCCCACATTCGAGAAGCCCGCACCCCACCACCACTCCCCCCAATCCCAACCCTACCGCCAACCGCCCATTACCAAACGCCAAACCCACCCAACAACACCTACCTGCCTTTCGGAGCCCCCGCTGACGCTGTTTCCCTCCTCCTTCCGCCCACCCGCCCAGCCGTCCTCACACACTTCCGTCCACCCACTTTTTGAATAACAACCCCCCCGGCCCATGAACCCACATCCACCCTCACGCAGCCAGTCCCCCAGCCAGGCCCCCACCTGGGGTGTATACCCCTCCGCCATGCTCTCCGCCGCCGCCAGGATCTTCTTGTTGGGGGACAGGGCGAGGGCGGTGATGCCGCGTACCGCCCGCAGCGGCTCGCTGATGCGCACAGTGGACAGCTGGGAGGGGCTGCGGAGGGGTCGCAGAGGGAGGCGGGAGTGGGGGGAGGAAGTGTGTGGGGGGGTAATCATAAATGCAAGGAAATCAGAAATGAACTGCCGGAAGGCGTCCAAATGTATAAAAGGGCCGGAAAGGAAAGGGGGATTGACGGACCGGAGCTCTCTACTGTACCGAATGATAGGTTGAAAAGAGAGGGAGAGGGAGAGGGAGAGGGAGAGGGAGAGGGAGAGGGAGAGGGAGAGGGAGAGGGAGAGGGAGAGGGAGAGGGAGAGAGAGGGAGAGAGAGAGGGAGAGGGAGAGGGAGAGGGAGAGAGAGGGAGAGGGAGAGGGAGAGAGAGAGAGAGAGAGAGAGAGAGAGAGAGAGGAAAAGAACTGATTATCCGATAAACAGGTTGGAGCCAGGGGCGTGCCTTAAGCATATTCACGCAGACAGACTCTTGAGGAGAGGGTAGTGGTTAGCACTGAACACACTGGACCCTTACTGGCGACATGGCTGCTCCTCCTGCTGCCGCTGCCGCTCCTACAATTGATTACTCCTACTCCTAGTACTGCTGCTGCTGCTGCTGCTGCAGTTGCTGCCGTCTGATGGTTCTATGGTTCTACCGCTGGTACCTGATTCCTGGTACAGCTGCTTTTGTGGCGCTGCTACTGCTGCTGCTACTGCTGGTACCCGGTTTCCGAGTACCGGGTACTGCTGCAGCTGTACCGCCGCTGATTCTCAGTGGAGCGTCGTATCGAAGCCCCGGCACCACCCTGGAGTTGGTGCGTGTGCTGCTGCCAACGCCTGCGACGGCCAGGCGGACAACCCGCCTCGTCCCATCCGCCCCCTCCCTCGAGCCCCGGGTCGATCCGCAGATCGATGTGCGCACCCAGCGACACCTGACCCTGTCCTTTCGGACGTGTCAACATCTGCCAACCTTTGCTTCTTGCATTATCATCATCATCATCATCATCATCATTATCATCTGATTACGCCTTCTTCTTTTCCTTCTTCCGGCAGGGTGACGGCACCGTCACAATACTCCTACCCCGCACCACCTCATCACGACCACCTCCACCACTACCACTATCTCACCACCACGGAGAACGATTTCTCCTGGGAGGAAGCGAGGGCTCATGCAGGCCCCTACCCGGGGCCCAGCTCCACCGCCGAGAATCCCATGTGCCATTGGGACAGCAGCAGCAGCATTTGCAGTAGCAATAGCTCACAACACACACAACACGCACACACCCACTCCATTTCTCTCCACGCTCAAGTGCACCAGCACCAACCCCACCCACTCCACCAGCACCACGCCAAGCCATCCCCGAGGATCCTTTGCGCCCCCAATGGGCGCCCTTGTCTGATAATAAACGATCTGAGCCGCGGACTGCACAGGAGGAGTTACAACCCGGGCACCTGTGAAGAGGGCCGTCGTGTGTGTGGAGGGGGTGGCCTGCTACTGCTGCTCCTCCAGCTGCGCCTGCTACTGCCGATCATGCTGTTGTTGATAACATGTCTGCAGCATCTGTATCTCCCGCTGCCGCGGCCGGCGGCCGTTACGTGGCTGTGCTACCACGCCTGCTTTTGTTTTTCTCCAACTTTACCTATTACTGCCGTTGTTCCTGCCGTTGTTGCTGCCGTTACTGCTGCCTGCTGCTGCTGCCTGTGTTGCATCTGCTGTCGGCAGTATGCTGGCGGAGCGACCATGGTGGAGGTCCCAGCAGGGTACGCGAGGGACTGGAGACTCGTTCCCTCTCTGGAGACGCGTTCCCGGGCCCCCTCGTCCCTTAGTGGCCGGTCAGACTGGACCAGTGCTGGTCAGCACTTACCAGTACATCGCCAAGGACCGGCCCACGGGGTAGACAACCGTGTCCTTCCCTAGGAGGCAGACGCCGCCGGGTACGGATGTCATACCCACAGCCATGCTGCGGGGGACAAGTCGCCGTGGGCGGGTTTGGGGGGTTAGGAGGATCGCGGGCGTCGTGCAAGACATGCAACATGTCATCGAAAGGCGGTGCCCAAGCAGCCACGCGATCTCCGCCGGGCAGGGAGGTGGTCGGAAAGGGTGATTTGTGAGGGGCATGTGAGGGGCCCGTGTGAAGGGCGTTTGGGGGGAGGAGTCTGGGCCCGTGGTTGTGGGGTTGCTTGTGGGACGGGGAGTGGGCATGTGTTTAGGAGTTGCAAGAGCCAGCTGAGGTCGTACCATCCGTGCAGGTGCCCCAGGGGGTCCGTGTGGGGTGAGGTTTGCCAGGCAGAGGTGCGTGGTTTAGTTGGCCGGCGTGTGAGATGGCGGGCGGGATGCAACCGCAGCAGATGGTACTCATCGGCCATACAGGTTTTCCATCTTACGTGTTGTGTGTGAAAATAATAAAGGAGATGCTTTCGCGCGCTTCGCCAAGCGCATATGCCGGGCTAACCACGCGGCCGCATGTTTACGATAAGGGGCTGTGGATGCGAGGACGCATTCCCTGCATGTGTCGAGGCTTTGCGTACTACAAAATGTCGAGTCCATCCGCCCAACCACTCACATCGGCACCAGAACCGGGGGCATGGCGCGGTCCTCCGACTTGCCGTCCGGGTTATCTCCTTGAAATTGCAGGTGTACAGCTCTCTTTTCTGTCATTTTTTGTAAATTTTACTCTGACGGCTGTCAGACTCAGCGTAAAGTTTTTAGACGAAGTCGTCTACATTTGAAAACGCTCCGCATTTGCATATCCCAGGATAGCATAAATACGTTTAGATATAAGATTACTTATACGCATGGCTAACGGCTATCCTTTACAGGTGCCCTCAGTGCTAGATACAAACCTCGAAGCCGAAAGAGTGTAAAGGTGCATATTGAGGAAAAGACGAGGAGAGCTGTCGTCAGACACTACGCGGATACTCCAAACACGTTTGGAGCCCAGCTGTTGGGAAACATCGAAGACGTACGACAGCTAGTGGTTTTTATGTCCTTTATGTTTGGGCTGTTGGATCTATCTGATCTGTTCAGTAGAGAGGTTGTTGGAGCATAGGATGCAATCATCAGGAGTCGGGACGTTGGCGCAGGGAGTTCGGTGTCTCCTTGCTGCTGCTAGAGGCGCAGGCCGCTTGACGTTAGAGCCATACCTACCGTTAGCATCGACATCAGATTGCCGTGCGGACGTAACTAGTCCATCAGGTTTGTCAGCCATCATCGGCAGCTTTACGGCGCAGTGCTCATTTGCATCGGCGTCTTCTAAAGCTGCTAGAGGGACATCAAAGGAGCGACGAACAGCATCCGACGCTACGGTGGAAGATGCGCGCCTTATACGAGTAGTGCTTCGGAAGGCACGTTTGCTCCTGACATCGCCTTTTGCAGCCGAGCTGCCTCAGATGCAGCCTGGCCCTGCTCACCCGGAGCCCGTAGCTTTACGAAGCGCTGCGGCATAAACCAAGGCGGTCCTCACAATACACAAATAGCTTTGGTTAGGCAAAACACTTATCCGACCCGGTGGAGCAAACACCCCCCATTCCCAGTGCACCCACGGCGTTCGCCCCCTGCCCCGTATGGGCCAGGAGCAAGCGCGATGCACTTGCAGCAAGAAATTGGACAGTTTGAGGTCCGGACCGGCGCCATGCACTTGCAAAGCCCGACACACACTGTCTCCCATCCTCATTACTCCATCCACGTGAGCCATTCGGTTTAGGAGAATGCCGGTCCTGCGGACTAGCGAGGGCTACCATCACCATTTCCATGATAACTACCGCCACCGTCATCATCATCATCATCATCAGCAGCAGCAGCACCGCCACCACCACCAGCACTGCCGCCGCAAATATCATAGGCCGCATCCCTTCCCTCCAACCAACTCCCGCTCTCCCTTATGGCGGGGCCCTTCGCCGATATGTATCCGGGAATGCAGGATGTAAAGGGCATGGGTCGGCAAGGAGACGTGGTACAGGTCAAACGCGGCCGCATGCGCCATGAGCTCTACCCCGTTGGCGACGCAGCGTATGCCACACCCGAAAACATTGCAAAGTATGCTCTGGTAAGTTTCGCCGGGCGTCGTGCGTTGTAGCGTTGTCGTGATGGTCATGATGGTAGGGCTGAATAATGTTCTGGATGTCATATGCGACACGAAGCAAATCGACGCCGGGGTCTGTGCATATGTGTGTGTGTGTGTGTGTGTGTGTGTGTGCGTAGTGGGACCCGGGGCTCGAGCAAGGATAGCCTTGGTTCAGCACGCCAGCGACATGCCTCTCCAGATCATGTTGCTCTGTCACAGTAGTAAAGGGCTTTCCAAAAGGCGTCCTCCGCTTGCCGCTGTCTGCCTGGTTGTGAGTCCTGGGGCCTCACCCAGCGGCTACTGCTCATCCACGAAGGTTTGGGCCTTTCACTAAACGGCCCTGGGGCGTCGGGCGTGTGGTGGTATACAGTGTCTGGGTTCGTGATGTGCATGGGGTCAGAGGCTCACCAGGTATGAGGCCCGTGGTGGCGTATCGTGGATATTTCGTAGGACGGAGATGGATGGGACCTGCTAAATGGATGTATGCGTGCGGCCGTGCCGTGTGTTCTAATGATCGCGAGCCGCGATGAGGGATCCGAGCCGCGATGCCGTGTGTGTCTGCGTGTGTGCGCGTGTTTGTGTTTGCACGTCGATCAGGGCCTGATGCTGGCCAGGGGCCTGATGCTAACCGTACCCCAACGGGATTGACCGACCCCCGAGCTCTCTCCCCCTAGCGGGAGGAGAGGGATGTGAGGGGCCACAGCCCCTTCTGTGTGTGAGTGTGTGTGTCTCTGTTGTGTGTGTGGCTGGCGACAGCCCTCGTAGTTTCCGGCTGAGGCCTGAAGCCATTGCCACATTCGTTTGCCTCTCTCCTCCCCCCAATCTCCCCACGGCGCCATCACCACCACCGCATGCAGACGGAAGCGGAGAAGCAGTCTCGGGACGCCAACGCGCAGGAGGGCGTGTTGGAAAAGCTGCTCTGGGCGTTGAGCAAGAAGTCCGTGGTGAGTACTGGGGGGGGGGGCCGCCCCCGCTCCTGTCTGGGGGCCGGTGTAAGAGAAGGAAAATCTTGGTTGCGGCGAGAGATACAGAGAGATGGATGACGCCCTGTTGGTACGTTTTGGGGAGCGGTAGGGTACTCGACGCGAGAGGTACGAACGGGGAAGGGAATACAGGGGGAAGCATGCATGATGGTAGGACCAGTGGTGGCGGTGGTGGTGATGGTGTGCTTACCAGGTGGGAAACCGGGTCGGGGCCGGGTTTAAAATGAGGTAGCCTGTGTGGCCTGTAACCTGTGGGTTTCACCCACAGCGTTTCTTAGCTGGAGTTGGCGCTTTTTCCTGATGTGCTGTGTGGGCGCAGCAGCTGGCAACTCTGTTGTTGCGTGTTAGTGTGTTTGCTGGGGCTGGCGTTCATCAAGCGGCCAAAACCGCACTAAGCCAAGTAGCCTACCCCATTCACCGTTTATCTGCCACATTCTTGGGCCAGGAACAGCCCCCAAACCCCGACAAGCGGACCGTGGTTCGTGCCGTCCGCCCGATCCTCAACTAACCCAGATTCAAGTCGCGACTGTTTAGTAAGACGTAAGACATTAGTCTTACGTACTTCTGGCGTATCAGAGTCTATCCTCCTTGGCATCAGGTTCACTCCTTCACGTGGTTCGTATTCCCCCAGATTCTCACCCGGCGCGCCTCTTCAAAGGACCCCGAGCGCTTTGTGGGTCCCACGGTATCACCAGAGAACATTCGCAAATCAGTTCTGCGGCAGATGGGCATTCAGCTTGACCCCAGCCATTTCCTGACAAACGCCGAGATCAAGTCGTACGGCACCTTCAAGGTACGGCGGCGTTGTACGGGACCTTGTGGGGTTTTTGCTGGAGGAGGACATGCCCCGTGGGCCAGCGGGTCGGTGATAAGTGATGAGAACCGTGTGGGGCTGATTGGGATTGCAGTATAGGGCCTAATAAGGCGCGACATGATAGGGAGGGATGGCGTGGGGTGCTTGGTTTAATATTTGCAAAGCCCTCTAAAGTCCCTTCGTGCCTCCCACTTAAGTCTGGGTCCTGAGAATACAGGGAAACCTGCACCGCATGTACAAAGCACTTGATAAGGCACACCTGTCGACACCTGCCGGCCTCGTCGTCAGCTACCCTGTGCGGCTAATGCACTCGCTGCTTCCCTCGCCAATTATTGTTTGACACACCAGCGTTGTCAGACGACACTGCCAGCTGCGTTACCGCTGCTTTCACTGCTTCCGCTGCTTCCCCACGAAGCAAGCAAGCTATGGCATGAGCGTCAGTCCAAAAACGCGCGCAGAGTGCAAGTGTATTAACGTCCGCTTCCCTTCATGTTTTGCCGCTCAAAACTCCGGGATCCCATTTACTGCCACCGCTAGGACTCATTTTCTAGGCACTCAGGCAAGGGCCCCTACTTGGCCCTGTCCGCAGCCACAAAAGAACCGCTCAGGGCTTATCCAAGCACTCATCGGTCACAGGCAACTCCCTCACGCCTGCTCCCCTTTTTGCGCCATATGCAAGTTGAGCAGCACCGAAACCCATCCCACACTGCCCCGGCCTCTTCGCTGCCCCGCCCGGCCCTTTCGACACTGCTTTTTGTTACCGCACCAATGCCTACTTCCCACCAGCCGCGCCATCTCATGCCATGCCCTCCCGCCCTTTCTACGGCCCACGCCATCCACTCGCTCATTCCCAGTCTCGCGTCCTGCCTCTTCATTGCAAATGGAGCCGTGTGTTATTACTGGTGTGGTGCCGCAGGTGCCGTTAAATCTCCGCCTTCCAGATGACCGACAGATCGAGTTGACGGTCCATGTGGACAGACGCAACAAGGAGGTGCAAGTAACTCCCGGTACCAGCGCCGTTGCCGCAGGGCGCTCCGCCTAGACAGCCATGTGTGGTCCCCATTGCTGTGCGCTGCCCTCCTGCCGGCTATGAGTTCGCCGTGCAGCCACAACTGGGGCTTGGCTCGGTACATCGAGGTTGCCGCAGCTTCGGGCGCTGTTTGCTATGCTGCGATGTAATGTGACGCCGTCTCGATGGTGCTGGTGCGGTCAGACAAACGCCCTGTTGTCGACTTGGGAGGAGTCCACAACAACCAGCTCCCCGCAGCTGTCTTGTGCCTGGCAGCATCACGGCTGCAGTATCAGGCCATAAGGAAAGGCAGGTGCTGTCGCCCTTTGGGTTGGAAATATTCTGCCCGGTCTCGGTGGTGGTGGTAGGGGTTGCGGCGTTGCTGATGGCCAGTTACAGGTTCGGCTGTAAGTGCCGCTGGTGATGGTGGACATAGGAACTGACTGTCATACTGGCGTCACTCCTGTCTCAATAAGTGCTGGAATGCTAGAACTGGAATGCTAGAACGCAGCTACCGCCGAGCGGCCAGGCAAGAGCCATCTCCCTTAGCTGCTCAGATGGCAAGGGGCTGGTAACATGCCATGTTGACGATGCGGCGGCAGACCTTGTTTTTTCGAGGCTGGGGACAGCAACAGCCGTCTCGGAAGAAGTCTATGGTACATCACCACCACCACCACCACCTGCTGAATATCTCGCTCATTCCCTACCTTTCTGGAATGCAAGTGGCCAATTATATAAAGCATCCATTCCCGCACGCTGGGAAGCTTTGTCTCTTGCGAGAGCCACTATTTTAAGAGGACATCGGCAGCACGCCGATGCGACCCACTACTTGCAGAGCGTGCTGCACCCCCAGCCTGGAAGATCTCAAAAACCCACATTCCATGCTTGAAATCCTGTTCGATCTCCGCTGCATCGTCGTCACCTCATCCCAAGTCACTGCTGCGTAGCGTCAAATAGCCATGCCTCCAGTACACATGCCAAAGTGTTTGCCGCACATGCTGGCTATCCGCGCGCCAATGCGCGCGCAAAAGCGCTCTGTCGTTTTGCCGCAGACAAAGAAGAGCCATGGCCGTGTGATGGATGACCTCACGTGACGTACGGACGCGATGAATTCACAACCCCCACGTGGACGAGGCAGCAGGACGGGGGGAAAGTGACGGGCCCTTCCCGTGGGAATTCGTTTTTTGGCCTGATCAATCTCGAGGCTTCACGAGGCTGAGACCTCGCTCGTTGAGTTCTCTCTCATACATCAGAGCCTCTGGTGACGTATCAGACGAGGGGAAAGGAGGGACGCCATCAGGATTAGAATGGTTGGGTGTATGAAAGCCGCACTCATGTGCTGAGGTGGATGACAGTGAGTTTCAGCAGAGAAGACCGGGAAAAAGGAGGTTTTTGTGTGAGCTGTCAAAGGTGATGCAGAAGTGGGAGATGGGAGAAGGATTGGCTTGTGCTATGTCAGGGCCCTTGTGCCATAACAGGCACCTCGACGTGCCTCCTCGCGCACCTCGCTCGTACAGCTCTTTTAGCCGGGCCTGGCGAGCAGCTTTCACGGTTGCCTGTCCAGCCTTAATGCCCGCCTCACGTTCCTTGGACGTCGCTTGGAGCGTCATGGTGGCCCCACGCAGCGTGTTCACCGGCTCACGCCGCCGATCGCGCTCTGACCAGTGGGCAATAATGGAATTGCGTGTCTCCTGTGCCTGCTCTCTTTCCAGCTTGGCATAATGATCATTCTTTGCTGCGGTATCACGCACGTTCTTCGGAACGTAGGACATAGTTGCGAAAAACGCGGCTGTTTAAGGAGGATTTTATAGCGAAGTTATACACGATGATTGGAACTCAGCTCGGTATTACTTAGCGACGGTGGGCCCTGAAGAGATAGACGTATTCATGTGTTGTGGTGCCAAAGCCCAACGCAGTTTATACTCAACACTCTAGGAGAAAGAGGGCGATAATATACTATTGCATTTCCAATCAGGGTTCGCATCTTCGTTAACGGCTTATTGAAAACTGCCGTGCGGGTGTACTGTACAACGCTCTTGCTGCCGACACCCTTTCACAGGCATCTGTGTGACCGGGTATGCAACTAGCTACCATCACAATACACTGCATGATGAGATGACCTTATTTGACTAGGTGCCGACAGGCCACTTGCCCAATATATTTCCGGGCAGCCGTAAGGCTGCCAGGCTTTCACGAAGGGGCTGTATTGGGGTTTTGAATTGCTACCTGTGCCACGCCTCGCTTTAAGGAGCTCTTTGCACTTTCGACGATCGTGGGTGCGCGCGAAGTCGCCGGCAAGATAGCGCCAGGATGAACGGTGAACCTGCTCCCAACAAATTAATTTGGGCAGATGAGGTTGATGAACGTAAGTTCAAAAAGCGTCGTGCTGGGGGATCAGATTCGGTGATGTCCAGGAGGACTTCCATTTACAACGTCGCCTCATAAGCCTAGTTGAATGTATAGTGTCCTGGGAATCTCACAACTGTCCTTAATGTACACGGGATATGTTTCGGCCAGGCAGGGTTGGTCTGTCCTTTTGTTAAGATTGTTGCTGCTGCTTCCCGGCGCGCTAAGTGTTAATTAGTTTATCTGTCGTTCTGTGATTCCGACACTGTACGCAGCATGCTAAGCATGGGCTGTTGCTCACCAGAGAGTTTGGCACGTTGCACGCTTCTGGGGGAATGTTTTCGCTTGGTTCGCGAGCACTCCTACACTGGTTTAGGGAAGAACTAGGGGTGTGCGCTCTTGAGCCGAAGACTTGGACAACCGTCCACCTTCACCCACGTTGGCGCGTTGCGTCTCGCGGTTTCGCTGCACGTGCGTCGGCTTTAGCGCCACTCGAGGGTCTGCTTTTGTATGCTTTAGTAAACGTGCAGCCACATGCCCGCAGTTCGTACACAGCTCCTCTCAGCTTAGGCAGCCCTCTAAACCCGGCAAGTCCCGCCTGGCCCTTCCCAACACCTCTCCGCTTGCTCGGCTCTGCAGTGGACAAGTCGCAAGAGGCCGAGGCGGCAGCCAAGCCCCCTCCCGAGCCCCCCCGCCCCACCCCCTTCGGGGTTCTGTTGGGCGGCCTCCCAGACGACTACGAGCTTTGGGAGGTTGAACGGATGATGGAGGATTTGCTACCCAAGATACGGGTGAGGAGAGGGCTGCACCTGGTGGTTGCAAAAACGTCAAGATACGTTCCAGGACATACGTCTGGATACGTTCAGGTCATAACTTCTTCTCACTCCGCAGGGGCTCACGGGGTCCGGCCTTTGTGGCGGTGTGTCGCTGGGGTGGCCGTCGAGGGTATATGGACGGTTGTACAGGGGATTTAGGCGGTAGTGGTTGCCATCTAGGGGGAAAATGACTGCTTTCTGGTTTGCTACGACATATGCTGCAGCCAATGCATATTTCACCCGCATGTATTATTCTCACCAATGTCTCCCCTTTTCGGAACATCCGCTCCCTCATGCCCATCCTTGCCGCAGGTGGCGGGCTGGAGGCGCGGCCCCGGACAGGCCATGTATGAGCTGGACCTCAACAGCATGCAGGATGTGCAGGCTGTGTGCAAGCGCCTCAATGAGGTGGGAGGAAGGAAAATGATGCGATGCTGTGGGGTTGTCACGGGAGTGGTGCAGGGGAGCGGTAAAGGCGGGGAAAGGACTTGGGAATTGGAAAGATGCGCGGCTAGTGCAATGGCAGTGTAGCGCCGGGAGGGGTAGTGAAGCAATGCCCTGGCGTGAAGGAGAAAATGCACCACACCGCAGCCACCGCAGGAAGTTGTCAGAGGGTGAGGGAGTGCGTTGAGGAAGTGGGGGCTCTGCGGGGCCATCAGGATACCATTGAATGCAGTACAGTTTGCTGAAGGAGTTAATATGGTTCCTAGGATCTGCCAAGTGGCAGGGTGGGGGGAAGGGAGGAAGGCGGCTATTACCCGAAAGAAAACCTACACACGATTCTGGTTGGTCAAAGCTCGGTATTCGAATGCCGTTGGCCCCCATAAGTCTTCTACCGCGGACGAAAATTCTCCTCCTGGGCCGCAAATGCTGCAGATCGAGATCCAGGGTGAACGCGTGTGGGCGCGTCCTAAGGATGGCCATGGTGGTTACGGCGGGCCTGATGGAGGTAGGTTACGAGTGGGTGCACAGCTGTGAAACGCGGGGAAACGTGGGGTTAGGGGCAAAGGTATGGCATGGGTGAAGGCAAAGGCAACGTGCATTAGCGCACTGCAGGGGAGTGCTTTAGTCTGGGGTTGGATGGGTCGCAGGGTTCCAGGCTCCAGGGAGGCCCGGTAAAAGGTAGGAGGCCATTCTAGGTTTTCGGAAGTTCGCAAGCTGGCGTTCCTACGGACCTTTGCACCTGTGCAGTGTTCCGAGGATCGCTCCCGGGGGCGGGCTTGAAAGGCTGGACATTTCTTTGCGGGGGGCATTTCTTTGCTGCAGGGCCAGAGGCTCGGTGTCAGCTTCGTAACGCACGGCTGATCTCAACTTGCTCGGCTGATCTCGGCTGATCCCACCCGTTTCTATGGTGGTGCGTAGAAGCCCCTGGGCAAGCAAAGAATTAATGGGTACTTTAGGCACTGAAAACACATTAATGATCCTGTGCAGGGTACTCTTACGGGCAACCGCCCCGGAGGCCGTCTGGGAGGCTGGATACACAGTACAGCCATCCAAGGTACGAAAATGGACCGTACGGCGGTGGGCCATACGATGGGAGTCGCGGGTACGGTGATCGGCCACCGTACCCTGGTCAGCGAGACGGCTCGCTTTCTTCCCACAGCAGCTTCAGTATGGGCAGGTGAGACCGCCACGTCGCGGGGCCGGGGGCAGAGGGTGTGTTGGGCAGTTGATAAAGGACAGGGCGAAGTTGAGGAAACGGGGCGGATTAATTACGGATAATAAGCGGTTTACCTTTCCCGGTATTGATGCGAGGGTGTTGAAAAGGATTGAGAAGGTGTCGAAGAGCACGAACCCACCAGGTTCGGATCCGAACAGTTGCTCCATCTCACCATATGTTTACATAGGGTTTGGCACTACTGGTAAGGCGCGACCATTGCCCCCGGGAGATCCCGGGATCGATACCCATTAGGGTCAAAAGTCCTTCCGATGGTGGAAGGCATTGCGCCCCTAGTTGATGGACGGTGGTGACCTGGGATAAAGTTAACCCGCGAGCCGACCAGGAATGGAGTTGGGCCGCTGTCGACCCGGCAGATTCCGTTGGATGCTGGTGGTGGGTGCGGAACCTGAGCGATCCACTGAGAAGTTGACTAGGGTGACTGGATGAGGGTGCCCCGAAATACCGGGAAAGGCAGGGTTTCGCAGGGTAGCTGCCACGGGCGAAGATACACCCCCCTGTTTCACACATCATATGTGTCTCGACGTGTTCATCAGCGTGGGCGACGCTCATAGCCGTTCCTTGAGCGCGTACGCCGCTGCTAAGGCTGGCGTGGATCCTATTGTCGTCAATGGCATCACTGCTGTCGGTGCGGCCTGCCGTATCGCAGATCCGATTCTGGGCCGTACGGACGCACGGGCTCCAGGGAGTTCAGCCTGTCAGGCGGTCAGCCGTCACGGCGACCGGGCAGCCGAGATGAGGACTGGCACCGGGGCGGGTCAGGTGCGCGAAGGGGGTTACTTTACCTTCAAACTAATTACATATTGAGTTTTCCGCAGCCGCGAGAATTTGGCACGTGGATCATCAGATTTATCTTAATGCACTGGCCCCCGGAGGTAGTGATGGGGTAAAACACGGTCACAGACATGATGCCTCGTAGGAGGAGGGAGCGCCGTAAGTCCGTCGGGACTCGGACGTCCCGTGGGTCACCTTCTGGGTAATCTAACCACAAGTTATACCGACCCACCGGTCGTGCTTCCTCTGGATGGATCTGTCAGGTCGGTTAGGTGGGAAAATCGGGATCTCCGTGTCTATGTCTATGCATTCCATCCCAACGTCACATATGTATCCTGTATTGCACGTGTGCTCCATAGGGCCCACGGAACGCTTTGGTGGTGGCCCGCCGTACGGCGGTCCCCGCGGAGGAGGTCCTTCGTACGGCGGGCTTGGTAGCCGCGGGTCGTACCCGATGCAGTCGATCGAGCCTCGTTACGACGATCCGTACGGACCGCCAGGTATTTTGGCACCCGAGGGCGATGGAATTGTTTGTCTGTCTGTCCGTCCGCCGGGTCGGTGTTTTCCTGTGATGTGGCGCGCCGTGTGCGGCACCATTACTTTGATTGGGCCAAATTGAGAGAGGTACAGCGCGCAAGAACATCATTTCAATTCAAGGATTGCTGTATCTTGGTTTCGGAGCGGGATCGGTGGGAGAACTACTGCTTTGCGGCCAGCCAGCGGGACTATCTTTTCTTCCATTTTCCTTCACCCTGGGGCTCAGGCAGTCACGTGCGTGCTACCGCTGTCAATGCTAGCATTCTTTTGAGCTGTCCTATGCCAAACTTTTTGAATGAACGAAGCTGCCAGGAGAAAGTGCTGAGAGTGACCTATATTCCGCGTCTGGCAGGCAGAGGACCGCGCGACTCAGCGCGGTTGCGCTCCGAGCGGGGGCTGTCATTCCTCGCCTGAGCAGGATTTTCAGACTGCGTTGCGGTCCCAACCCACTGACCGACTCCCAAGCGACCTCCCAAGTGACCTTCACTCCTCCATCACCCGCGGGCACACGCACCCGTTGGCTCTGTTATCTCCCGGCACCATCCGGCAATGCACCTCGTAATGCTTTTCGGGGTGCGCTCCCCTTCCTCCTCTTCCTCGTTTGTATCAGCGGGCCCCGTCCGTCCTCTCATCCATTTCTCTCCCTGTCCGCCGCCGCACGGCTGGTCCAGGCCGGCGACTGCCCCCAGGTCCCGGCCCCGGCCGCTGGGCGCCCGGGGGACCTGGCGGTGAAGACCGTTGGCCGCCCGGAGGGCCCCGTGGGGGCCCGCCTCCGGCCTCGCTACACGGTGACCTGCGGGACGGCGTAATTCCTTCGCGCGCGAGCGCGCCGCTGCCGCCGCCGCCACCGCCACCGCAGCAGCCCTCATCTCTGCCGCAGCACCAGTCCATGCCGCTGCTGGACGGGGAGCGGCCGAGGCTTAAGCTACAACCCCGGTCTTCGAATGCGCTGGCGGCCTCGGGGGGTGAAGAGGGCTGCTTGGAGGCTGCGGCAGGTGTGTTTGGACGGGGGGTGAAGAAAGATGATGGTGCATCCTGGGGATTATGGACCCCATTCGTCTCGCACCTTTTGACCCCATGCGCGGCGGTGTGCGCCCTTTCCTTTGCAATTAATACCTGAAGCACCTTACGGGAGTTTTGGCTGACGCTTGCATAACGGATATGCAGCGCCACTGCAGGTGGTGTGCGCATTGCCCATCACTCCATGTGCCCCCAGCTGCCTTGTCCTAATTCTTCTTGCCCTCACGTGCCGAACCATGCTCTATGCGTCTCCCGTCGGCGTGGTGCAGGTGACGTTTCCGGCATAGCGGTGGATGCGTCTTCGGGTGCCGCTGTTTCCCCGTCCCCGGCAGCCGATGCGACAAGCACTGCCGCCGCTGCCGCCGTCGTCGTTAGTAAACCCAAATCGAACCCCTTTGGCGCCGCACGACCCGTCGACACGCTGGCACGTGAGCGCGAGATTGAGGAGCGGATTGCTCGCGAGCGGGTCGGTATCGACTTCAAGGAACGCGCCTTTGCAGCGTCGCACGGAAGCGGCCCATTGCCTTCGCTGCATGCTCCGGCGGCCGTGGTGGCGCTTCCCGCCATGGCAGGCGTGCAGCCCGGGGCTACAGGCCTGCCGCCGCCACCGCCGCCGCCGCCGCCGGCAGCGCTGGTGCCGGCACTGGGCCCCGGGCTGCCGCCCGGCGCGCCGATACCGATTGTTGCTATGCCACCGCCTCCAATGCCCCACCTCATTGCTATAGACAGGGGAACGGCTCCGCCAGGGCCGGCGGCCGCAGGCGCGTTTGAGCGCTTGCCGCCTCCGGGCCATCCTCACCTCCACTCCCATTTACTCGAGCACGGACACCCGCCGCAATTGATACCTGGACCTATGCCTGGGGTGGCTCCGCCGCCCGCGGCGGCGGCTCCGCCTCCGCCACCGCATCTGGCGCAGGCGCCGATGCTCCCGGTGGCAGCCGTCGCGGTGCCGGTTGTCCTCCACCACCATCCGCCTCCGCACCAGCCGATGCCGGGGCCCATGCAGCGCGCGATAGCTCAGCCACCGCCGCCACCGCCACCGCCGCCACCGGTCCTGCAGCAGCACCCTCAACCGCAGCAGCACCCTCAGCCGCAGCAGCAACATCTGCCGCAGCAACAAATGCAGATACAGGGCCCGGGCATGATGACGCCGGCACCGCCGCCGCCACAGCAGCCGCACCTGCCGCTGCCGCAGCAGCAACAGGCACCTATGCCACCCAGCATGCCGTACGCTGTACAGCTCCATGCGCCAGTGCAGCTGCTGCAGCGGCCTAGGCCGGCGGAGCCCCCTCCGCCGCCGCCAGCGGTGGCGGCAGTGGCAGTACCGCCGCCGGCGCCGCGGTCATCTGCGGTAACATCAACGCCCCAGTCACCACAACCGCAGCCGTTGCCAGTGGGTGCTCCAGAGCGGCCTGCGCAGCTGCCTCCGGGTCTTGGCTCGAGCGTTGAAGGCCGGAGACGGCCACCGGTACCTGCTGCAGTGGCAACAGGTGCGCGCGTGCCGCTGGGCGCAGGTAGGCACTATGCATCTATGCTCCATCTTTACAACACCATGCTAATCATCATACAGGACCCTGTCTGGATCGGGCTTGACGTTTTCCGCAGAGTGATTCTGCAGTCCTCCCTTTAGGACGGCAGGCTAATGATATGTCATATTTATTCCTCCGTGCACAGCGGTCTGCATCTCCAGCAATGGTTTGCGCTGGCTGCCACTATCAAGGCGGTTGTGCCTGGGGTTGTGAAGTGCTATTGCACTTCCTGTTGTTTTCATGTCACTCTGCCGTTGTCATGTGCGGATCCGAACAGGTAATGCTGAGGATGGCGTTGCTATCCCGGCGGAGGAGGCCGCCTTGCGCCGGGCGGCGGCAGAGCAGGAGACGGCGCGGCGGCAGGCCAATGAAGCGGCGGCACATGCCGCCGCCGCGGCGGAGGCGTCCGCTGCCGCAGCAGCAGCGGTCAAGGCGGCCACAGCCGTGGCAGCGCTGACGATCCAAGCACCCCCGACGCCGACGGAGGCGACCGAGTCGCAGCGGGGCCTCACCGCTGGTGACACCGACGAGCTGGACGAGCAGTACGGGGAGGAAGACGAGGAATTTCTCGACGCACAAGAGCATCTGCACTCCTCGGAGGACGAGCAGCACGGGACACCGAGCTCCGAAGGCGCGGCCGTCGCCGCCGCTGCATCGGCGGCCGCTGCAGCTGCGGCGGCGGGTCTAGGACTGCGCGGCGGCTTTCCCGCTGTTTCAGCGTCCGCCGCACCGTACGGCAGTCGCGGCGGCGGCAGGGGGATCCGCGGCGGCAGGGGCGGGCCCAGGGAGGGCGGTCGGGGCCGCAGTGGTGGAGGTCGTGGGCGCGGTGGCGAACCACGGCCGCACATGCACCGGGGTGCGGAGGGCTATGATGAGGGAAGAACGTGGCGAGGTATGCGACTAGACGCATACTGTTGCTGCTGGGGGAGCCAAATCATGAGAGCTAGGAACAAAGGATCGACGGCTGCTTTGGGGGGCTGTCGGCTAGGCGCGCCACTCGCTCTCTAACACCTGCGCAGATCAGTTCTCTCTGCTGACTGTGGTTTCATCACAGTTCCCCCTTCGGAATAAGCGTGTAGGATTCACTCTTGCCATGTTGACAGCAAACGCACGCATGAGAGGACTGGTACGGTAGGTTGGTGCAAGAGGATGTGCTCAGCAGCGGTTGTGTGTCGTGAGCTAGTCGACGTTCAGAGCACTCCAGAGGCCCGCCTGAATGGCCCAGACAAGCAGCAGCTGGATCGGGGATAGGAAGATATGCAGCTTACAAGAGTGAGGGAGATTTACAAGCGTGTTTCAGTAACGGGCTAAGGGGACGTTTTTGAGGTTTTGCAAATGAAAGGTTCCTGGAGGTTCCAATCCAAGGTCATTGAACGCCAGTAAATTCCATTGGGGCATGGCGCATGAGGCGACAGTCGCATCAGCGCTTTCTTCGTAGCTTGCTGTTCTGTTCCGTCCTTGTCGAGCTCAAGAGCCGCTGTCCCTTTGCCGCTTTGTACCTGTCTATTCCTCGCAGCTGCAAAACCGTACTACGAGGAGCCTGCGCCTGAAGAGGGTGGTGGCCAGCGCGATGGTGACGGGGCGGCTGTGGGTGAAGGTGAGTGGGGCCCGGCACGTGCGGCAAGCTAGCAACAGCGCACACGCGTGGGAAAAGCTGTTTTTGGTGCGGCCGGCGGCAGCTGTGGCTACGGCTGCAGCTCTCTTGCTGCCGGGTGGCAATCCATAGATGCCACAATCCATGGACCTGCGCAGGCGCACCGGGGCCCGCG